CCCAAGCGGGCACCATGGCATTGATTGTGCCCAAGCGGGCACCATGGCATTGATTGTGCCCAAGCGGGCACCATGGCATTGATTGTGCCCAAGCGGGCACCATGGCATTGATTGTGCCCAAGCGGGCACCGATGGCATTGATTGTGCCCAAGCGGGCACCATGGCATTGATTGTGCCCAAGCGGGCACCATGGCATTGATTGTGCCCAAGCGGGCACCATGGCATTGATTGTGCCCAAGCGGGCACCATGGTCATTGATTGTGCCCAAGCGGGCACCATGGCATTTGATCTTTGATCGAGCCGCCGCATTGTTGTCAAGTAAAATGAATGGACACAACAAGGATTGTTTCGGATCCTTTGACTTTCTTCTCTGCGAAGAAATCGGGCCTAAACGTGCGCGTTCAAAGAGCATACTGCATAGCTTTTGCTCATAAAGTGTAGTCTTAGTCTCCAAGATCGTTAAAACGGAGCAGGCAGGTTTAGAATGACTGTTTTGGATGGTTGTGGAGGGAAAAAGGTAGTCTCTACTAGACTAACTACGCTGGCTATATATAGGAGAGTATTTGCCAGGGGAGTTTGGCCGCCTTGAGGTTGGATTGGCCGCGCTTCGGAGGGAAAAAAACTACCTCCCCGAGGCCAATTCTACTCTTGTTTGCCGAAAATTCTACGATCCGTATTCCCACAGAAAGGCCTGGTGGAGACGATGAACAAGGCCCGAGAGAGCGTGTCATTTAGAAAGGCTGTGTTAAACTAGCCTCCACAGCATGCCAAAAGCTGGGGGTTTTGGTCGTGGTCGTTGGAAGCGTTTAGATGCTATTTTCTGATTGCATATAGACAGCATAGCCGGCCTGGTTGAATAACCCCCGTTCTTTTTTTAGAACTGGGCTAATCAGAAAACAGCCGAAGACCAAACCCCCAGTTCTGTAAGCCTGCTACGGAGGCTAATCAGAAAACAGCCGAAGACCACCAAACCTGCTATAAGCCTGCTACGGAGGCCAGTGCTGGACGGTAGTGGAGGGAACAAGGCCCGAGAGAGCGTGTCATTGCGCCGTTGTCCGCCATTGTTGCACGGGTGAGATACGCTGCTGGTGCGGATTACCGTCTGAAAACCGCAGACGAACGTAGAATGCATTTGAATTGCCCGTGACGAATCCGAATCAAAGCAGTCCGTTCTGCTGCATTCACCAACGCCCATCACTCCATGCGTCACTCTGAAAGACTTGACCGCTACGATTCAAGAAAGGAACTCAAAAAGTTTTAAAACATTGCTCCTAATTCTTGAGGTCAATTCTTGGAACTCCGCCAAGCCAGTGTTCTACCCTGTCTATTACTCTGCTTTCTTTCCTCCGATTGACTCTTTTCATCACATAGTTTACGTAACTTTTGTTGCTTGTACAATTACACTGATATGCAGTGTTTTCAGTGTTTAAATGAAGTTTGTACGTTACGTTTGTGTGCTAAAGTATCGCATAGTTCTTCTTGAGGTCAATTCTTGGAACTCCGCCAAGCCAGTGTTCTACCATGTCTATTACTCTGCTTTCTTCCTTTCGGTCCCTTTTCAGGCCCGGGTCATAGAAAACCACCCAAGCGAAAACATCCACCGGGCGGAGAGAAGCGATTTTCCCCGCTTTTCGAACCTCCGCCATTGTTTCGAACCTCGCGCCAGGCGCATGCGCGAATCAGATTGACCCCAAGGCATTAATCACTGCGTAGGTTTCTTTATTTGAGTTAAAAAGTTTTTCACAAAGACGAGGTTGGAAAAAAGAAGGGCATTCACCCGCGGGGTATTCAGGTAGAACCTACATAATATTCACGGGACACAATAGAACATTGGTCCATACAGTAACCGGTTTACTCTTCAAGAAGAGACTTGGTGCTTTGGTGGAGTGTATGCTTTCTGAGATACAAGTAAATGAACAACAGTTGAACAATGTTTATACAGTTACCAGTTTAGAGATTTAGGTTTTGCTGGAAAGTATCACTGGGTATGCGTTGCCGGATAAATGTACAACTGTTCAACTCAAGTATAGAAAGACACTGAACTAACTAAACCGTGTCATAAGTTTATAGTCTTTGCTGGATATCTTTAAATATATATCTACCCTCGAGGTATTCAGGTAGAACCTACATAATGTTCACGGGACACAATAGAACATTGGTCTATACAGTCATACTAGTACTCTCCAAGCAAAGATTTGGGCTTTGCCGCAGTGTTTGAGATTATTTTGATACTCTTCCAGGATTCCCACAGAAAATATATTAAGTGCAGAAACAGATATTTAAAATTACATCTGCCACACACTGTTACATGATACAATATTTAAAAAAAGAGAGATTCGAGAAATTACAATTCACATAAAAAGTCATACGTATACATTAAACATATACATCACACAAAATATACAAATTCTGCCTTAATATAATCATCTTACTTTAACGTGTATCACCGGCTAATTATATATATTGGGATAAATGTTAACTAAACCACGACTCAAGTTTAGAATCTTTGCTAGATATCTTTGAAATATAAGCATTTAAAAATATCTTTTTGGCATTTAATTTAGTAGAACATTCCTCTTTTGATACTAGTTGTTCTCCGAAAATTCTAAGAGGACACAGACAATTCTAAATTTATCCCATTCAGAAATAATTTTGCCAAATTTAAGTCAGCTATCACACAGACCATTAGATGAGAAAAAACACAAACTATCTTTGTATAAATGACAACTCTTTTAATAACAAGAAAACTGCCTCATTACAATTCAACAAGTCCTTTGGTTAATGTCATAATGTCGAGTGACAACATGACACAATTTTACATTTATATATATATCTTATGGCTCAATTTACATTAATATACAACATATTCACAGCGTCTTTTTATATATTTTTTACATCGATGTCTCCCATATCACCAGCAATATGGAAACTCTTTGTACGTTTGGCTCACAGAGGTCTATAAAGCACATGCGCATTCGGCTTTTAGT